GTGAAGCTGGCGCCTTGATGCAGGTACCTCGAAGATGGAGCTGGAGCTATGGCGCCACAGGTAAGTCTCACTGGCCTCCGCCAGCCATCTCTCCCAAACACTACTACTACCACCTATTAGCGCCCAGTGCTGAAGACTACTGCTACTACTACTAGCGCCCAGCGCTGAAGTCTACAGCTAGCGCTAAGCTGCTCCTGCAGCGCTCCTCCTGAGTGCTGCGGCCGAATCCTGAAGACTACTCCTGCCTTCTGTCCAACTACCTGCCCGTGAAGTGCATGGGAACTCCCTATGTACTTCTCGGCCTGCCTCCTGACTGCAGGGCGAGGCAGTCCAGGAGGCTGCTCTTGCCAATGCCGAAGGGAGTCACGGGCTGCCGCTGCAGCTCCTGCTTGAGGCTGTCGTGGGAACAGGCCAGAAATAGCCTGTTCCCGAAACCCTGGTTTTGTGCCTGAGTGTTAGGGCAGGTCGATCTTATGAGGGCCCGAAAGTGGCCCTCCGTTTCAGGCTGAAAAGCCTCAGGGCTGAAAAGCCCTGTTTTAGGCTGAAAACGAAATAGGGCCTGCAGGCCCTCGTTTTTCAGTTTTCAGGCTGAAACGACATGGGGCCTGTAAGCCCTTATTTCTAGGCTTTAGGCTGAGAATGCGGGGCGGGCCCTGCAGACCCGTTTGGCTACGCAGTATGCCACACCTGGCCAGGTGTGGCCAGGTGATGGGAGGATGGCCCTGGGCCGGGTTGGGGACAATTGTGGGGTGGAAAAAAAAAGGGGCCAGTTATGGGTGCCACTGGGTGGCCTTTTGTAAACAAAAAAGGAAATGGCCAGCTTTTTGTCTTCTTCCGCTCAGCCTACCGCTCCTCTTAGGCAGCGCTGTGCTGCTCAACTACCTACCCTTCGGCAGGTTCTGGTTAAGCTACACGGGCGTCTACACTATTGCTACTCGATTGCCTACCCTTAGGCAGGTTCCGGTTCAGCTACGCGTCCCTACACCAACTACCCTTGAGCTACGTGGGCCTACACTACTGCTACTCGAGTGCTAGCCTGCGCTACTCGAGTGTTTTTCTGCGCTGCAACCCTCAAAGTCACCGCCACAAGTAAGTACCGGCCCCACGGCCCCCTCCCAAACAAATCACATACCCTGCTGGGTCGCACACCCACTCAGGCAGAGACACATCCGCTCACACGGGCACCAGCAAGCACACACACACCCACACTTGGAAACACGGCATACAACCAGACCCCGGCTGCAGACCCCGGCGGGTCGCACACCCACTCAGGCAGACACATCCGCTCACAACCAGACCCCGGCGGCAATCTCGCCACGGCACACATTCCAGCTGCAAAACTCAGAAATCATCATCACAACTTCTCAGTCTGGAATTTTCCAGGTTTTTTTTTTTTTTTTTCTGGGGAATTTTCCAGGTAAGTTCAGTACAGCAGCGGCTCGCGTCTGCTCTTGGAGCCTTGTTATATTCACGGATAGTTGTTTCTATAAAGCGGTCAAGTTCATTCATTAAGGTATATATTTGATAGTAGGGGACTAAGGCCGAAGGGCCATCTTCATTCTCTGTATCGTTCCAATTCCAATTTTAACGGATGTCCCGATAGGATCGTTTTTTGTTTTTCTGGTTATCGTTTTGGTCAACGTTTTTTTTTGTTTTTTTTGTTTTTTTTTTCAGTGGAAATTTTGCAACATTGAAGTTTAAAAGCCCCTGGCTTTCAGTTCTGTTGTGTTCTGTCTGTGCCTTGTATGCTTAGAAGTTAGAACCATTTGATGACCTGGATGAATCTGGCCGCATTTACGGCTGCGCCTGGATGAATCTGACCACATTTACGGCTGCGCCAGGATGAATCTGACCACATTTACGGGCGCGCCTGGATGAATCTGACCGCATCTTTTTTTACGGCCGCGCCTGGATGAATCTCACGGCATTTAGGGCCGCGCCTGGATGCCACAGGCAGTTTGTTTTCTTTGTTAATGGTGGGTGCTTTGATGACCTGGATGAATCGGACTGCATTTACGGCCGCATCTGGATGAATCTGACCGCAGTTGCGGCCATAAATAAGTGAAACACGGCCTGTGCCAGCCCGACCGTGCCTTGTAAGCTGTCAACTGTGTTCGCTTGCGTGTGCAGCTGAAGACGGCGCGTGCACTTCATCACGTAACTCATTTACGAGCCAATTCGCGCTTGTTTCTTTTTTTTTCATCTTGGTGTTGTTTATTCTCCCGCCCTTCTCATCGTCGTCCTTTGCCGTGCTCGCATGGAACGCTTGGCGTGTGGTGATTCTATCACCCCAGCGGAAGACAATGAAATTTGAAAGTTGCTTTCTTTGATTTGTTTTTGTCGTGTTTTTTTT